ATCAGATTTCTTCTGAGCACAAATCCAAAACACAGCCTCTTGCTAGTTATTATGAAGAAAGTTAACTGTCTCAGCTTAACCCAGGACATACTCCCAGAAAGCAATTGTCCATGTCTTCTTTCTCAGACAAAAGGATGTGCAGAAAGTCTTAAGTCAGCTCATTCATGTTGTCGTCCTAGTCTAGTAGTTGCTATAGAAAGCGAATAGCGCTTCCTCTCTTACAGCACATTTCCTTGCCTGCTGACTGTTCTCAGAGCAGGCAGTAGGCATTGCAGAGTCAACCACAAATAAGAAAGTACAAAAGAAGCAGGAAGAGAAATAAGACTTACCATATGGGCAATGGTGGCAGGACCAGTGACATGCTACTGTTATAGCCCACTGATACAGATAAATGACAGCATGTCATGTCTAGACTGACTCACTGGTAGGCTCAGTTAAGAAGGAAAATGTTTGTGAGACTGCTTTCATCAGACAGTTTTGAAGCACATGCATGGAGGGGACATTTGGTCTATGGGACCAGTCTGAAGCTAGTCTGAAGTAAATATCCTGTATTATAGCATGGATGTATCTAACTGCCTTGTTTTACTGATCCATTCCTATTATGCTGCATCACTTAAGTAATGTAGACTATGCCTTTGTGTTTCAGAGTTTAAAAGCTCGTGTTATGTTGGCGCCTAACACTTTTTCTCTCTTTATGGTTAAAGGTCTTATAAGCAGTGCAATGAACAGGTGAGTGGCCTCCTTCCAAATCAGTAAAGTAATTCCCACAGGCATTAGAAGGAGGAGAAACAACAGGGTAGAAAGCACTTCCTTTGAATTCTGTTTTTCATCTTCACTTCCAGCAGACCAGAACCAAGCAGTCATAGCCAGAAAGGGTCATAAACACTATGATATCCACTTTGCAGCATTTCCAAGTCTGGACACTGTCTTTAGTAATGGAAGTTGGAATGACCTACCTTTTAGTTGTGCTGAATTAAACACCAGGATTCAAATCAATTTGCTAAACTCTGGGATGTCTAAGGCAATAACAATTTTGCAATAGCAAAAATATGATGTGGTCTTTCTCTGTTACATACACAGCATAGTTAATGTGCATATGCACAGTGGTTCTGTTTTCCTAAATGCCATACTTTACTGTGCTTGCACAAAGGAGTGTTACATATGAGTAATAGATCCAGCACTTTTTGGAAGCACAGCTTTACTGCTAATATAACACTACTCACAGAGAGCATGTGCTCATAGCCTGCTCATATCCTACTTCTTGTCTTGTTCTGCAAAGCACCCACCAAAGAGGCTGGCTGCCTGCACACCACTTCTACAAAGTTCCCAAACTTCCTTTGTGCTGAGGCTGCTCCACGCAGGAAGGAACAAACTGCATACTTTAAGAATAGCTCTGAAGCCAGGAGAAAGCTGCTTTCAGCTAACATCTTTCTTCCATCTGTCAAATGAGAAAATGTGTTCCCATTATGTGCTGGGAGAAGAAGCCATACACTGTGCATCCCACACAAAAAAAAATCCTTCTTCTTATCTAAGTTCTCAGATAAGCTAGGATAATTCTTATTTTAAAAAACATTTTAGCTTTTGATGAACCCATTCAGAAATCACTTGCACATAGGTTTTGGATGCTGAAAAATCTTGACAATGCTCCTTAGGTTTCCTATGTCACTTAAGTGTGGCTAGAACATTACATCACACATCACAACTATTATTATTTTCTTAGTCAATTAAGCATATCCTGCTCATAATTATTTTCTCCGTATTAATTTTTCTCCTCAAGTCCTTGTAGTTGCAACTTCTGTATCTTTTCAGACCTTGTCTCTACCTCTCGACATGTCTGAACTTCTTTTTAGTAAAACATATAAAATCCTTCTCCAAACACTTATTGATTTCATTCTTATCACACAAAAAAATCCTAAATACATGATGACTGATGTCTTGTATAAAATATTTCCATTTCAAGAATTAACTTTACAAATGATATTTCTACTGGAGTGTCTTTTCCTTATCTAATAATAATAAGCCATAAAGTGCTCTAGTTAATATTAATGTGAAACTTGAATAACTTAAATTACATTAGTGAGAGATGAGAATTTGGGATACTAGCTCTAATTCAACAAAAATAAAGGACATTTTGAAAAGCAGAAATCTAACTGAAAGATTTCAACTCTGCCTATCTCTTACTAACATACCAGCTTACCCTCTTATTTAATGTTCTCCTCAAATACAGAATCATCAGGGAAAAATAATCTGAGAAATCTGAATAAACACACCTTTTTATACTGGTTAAACACTGCATAAGTAACTACAATGATTAATTCATCTATATTTGGATGGATATGTGGGGTTTCTTCCTATTTAAAACAAATTCAACCTCTAGAAAGTGGTTCCTAAACAGGCCACTGGTGTTTGAAATATAGAAGTTCATCAGTCTTTAGGAAGCTAGCAACTATGAGCAAATATGAGACAGTTTTTCTTTTCAGCCACTAAATGCCTTCTGCATTTTCAGGCTGCAGAGATTAATACTGATGAGAAAAACAGAAAGAGCTTTAAAAAAAAAAAAGTATTTTAAAACCTTGACAATAGATTTTTTCCTTGATTTTTACCCTCTAAGCTTATTCAATACTGCCTGAGCATAAGGTGCTAAGGAAGTCTTGTTCCATAGATGTTTCTTAAAGCACTTAACATCCATCTCAAAATCTGAGTTAAAAAGTATCACAAGACAGGAAACATTAATGGTAAAACTAAAAATATCACCATCAGCAATGTTATTAAGTACTAAAATACAAGGAGTCATCAAGTTTTAAATGATGAACAGAAAAGAGGTACAATTTCAAAGCAAACAAGCTAAAAGAATTTTTATCTAATGAGATTCAAATTAGTGAGACTAATTATGGCTTGAGATCTTAAAATATTTCAACAGTATGCACTATTTTGAATGCATGATGACAGAGCTGAACTTATCAACAAACAAATAGATATACAGAAATGTTTCATGGTTCCCTGCAGGATGTGAAAGTTTTTTAGATCTTCAGCAAGCAGTTGTGAACACCGCAAGGGTGGGTTACATTAGATAAACTCACCATGATCCCAATTTTTGGGCCCCATAACTATTTCGACAGCTGTGCCTTCAAGAGAACTTCAACAGGAAAAAATGTATTTTACTATGTAAGCTCTCTTGTGTTGCTGAGTCATTTAAGTGAAGAAATGTGATGCATAGCTTCAGCTTTCGACTGCCTTTGTTTTGGTGTAACATTCTTGCATCAAAGACATTAAAAATGTGGTCCTTAAGGACTGTTTTTTTTAGCTCAACAGGGAAGCTGCTGAAGACTACCTCACCATTACTCAGTCCATGCTTCAAGCCATCAAGCCATTCTGTGTTACTTAATTGTCTTTGGTTCAGAAGATGTTGATTCTTCCAAGTAAATGCATAACCATCTTGTTCTCAACTGGTTTCAAGAGTACTTCTAGATCTTGATTCTGTCCTCCTTTCTCCCATTAATTACATTTTAAAAAGACCTCAGGTGGAGTTTTGTGACAGAAGCTGGTCTCAGCATTAGTATACTCTCTAAAAATAGACATTATTAACAATGTTTCTGTAAACACCAGTTACAGAGTGTAGATAGCACTAAAATTATGTTTTATTAAAAATCCATTCATTAATTTTGAAAAATTTAAACAAGAATACAAGAAAGTTGATCTAAGTATGAAAACCAGAAAGAATAATTCATCATCTAAGAGCAAAGATTAGGATTACAAAATTTTGTTTGAATGCTAGCATTGCTGAAAAATTTATAAATTCATAGTTAAACCTTAAATATCTATTGTAATTAGTCAAATGCTACTTTTGTATACCTCACTACTTGTACCATTTGTCTCACTTGGTATGTGGAATATTATTGTCTTTAATAATGTTTGGTGTTTCATTGCAGACTGATATTAGTATATATGTATTGACTGACACATCCAGATACAGAAATTTTTCACAGCTTCTAATTTTCCCATACAAAAGAAACCCTTGTTTGCTTTTACAAGTGGTCCATCCAGTAAGCCATGATGTATCAAAAAGCTGCTTCCAGCAATGTCAGCCTCATGCTCCAGACTGAAGGGTCCTTTATTAACTTTCCTCATTCTCCAGTATTATCAAACTGCAAGCAGACTAATCTCTATTTATGTCAATTACTCTACACATGCTGCTCCCAGAACACTCCACGCACTTTACACTAGGTTTTATTCCTGCCCTAGTATCTTGCACTAGGTATCTGTATCACATAAGGCAGCCTTCTGAGCCTTCCTGGTGTCTACTTCTCATTCATTCTCCTTATACAGCTTTCCAAAATAAAACTGTAAGTTTTCATGCTAGGCCCACTACCTCTCATTTGGAATGCTAGTAGAAGCCTCCACTGATATATTCTGGTATGCAAAATATAAGGACAATCCTTTCTATCACTGATTCAAAAATCTATAGTTTAAATCAGCTAGCACCAAAAATGATTGCAAAAATGACTGCAAGTTATTCTGTCCACTGCTGAGAAGCAAAACTCATGTACACAGCAGCAAATCAAATATGAAGCCTGCGGGAAGTCTCTGCATCTTACATGAAAGGTAGGTATTAAGAAAACAATGTTTCATCCAAGGCTTTTAAGAATAGTATTTGGAGGCCAACTGCTATGTAAAGACAAACATCTGGGATTCAGTGCCAGCCTCAGTTACACATATGTAATGACAGTCTATAAACGGATTGAAAAACCAAAAATAATTAAAATAAATTCTAAACAGTCATCACTTCAAATTACAGATTTTACTCTCCTTTGCTTTGTCAATTACATTTATACAAAGTGAGTCCAATGCAATGATTTTAAATTACGTCACGCTTGCATATGCAAAAAACATGTCTGCAAAACCAGTAGAGAGTTCTGTTTAACTTCATTCAAAGAAGTGTTTAAATAATGGGAAAGCTGTAGGCGTTAGTTCCCTTGGCTGGATAATAACAGCAACTATACCTTTGGGAGAAGCTGGATTGCTTGAAGTATTCTCTGTCTGTGTCCAGAGTTAAGGATTCCTATTTCCAGGAGATCCTGGTCCTCCATTACATTGCTTCCCTGAAAATGGGAAAAAAGGTAGAATAAAAATGAAAAAACAGCAGATGCCCTCAATAGCCTGAAACAAGCCCTTCTGTCGTGTTTAGAAGGGAACATTTTGCCTAACTTACAGTATCTGACAAGAATCATAAATTACTGATGATTGTATTCATTTTCATGATGACAAAATAAGGTGGAAGGCGCTTGAACTCTGGACAATTTTTATACTGCTGACAGCACTGCCAGGGGAGAAACTAAAGTTCTCACTCAAGCCAAATACCAGATGTGCATGTTCTTTCATTTGATTGAAACCAAGGACATGACTAGAGAAATATTCAGAAACTTAATTTTTTCATTACCCTCCTACCTCACCCAGCTTTATATGATGTTAATCTTTCTCCACACTTAGCACAGAACAAGATGAACAGAGCAGATGAGGATAAAATTATTTAGTTCCTTGTTAGTAAAATGGTGAAGAACACAAAGAGGGGGAGTGTTATCAACAAACCCCACATAGTACCCAAACCCCTGAATTTAACTGTACCAGAGCAGTCCTAACTTTACCCATCACTGCTCTTATCTCGCTGCTTGTGGGAAGGTCAAATAACTCCTAACATGCAAACAGCTGAAAAAGACCATCTGTTCAAACAATACACAAAATAAGTGCCCACAAAAGTCCATACAATAAGATTTCACAATTCAAACCTCTGTTCTTAGGAGTTGCTACCAGTAGGGCAGGACCTATAGCTCTGCAAAGAGGATAATACAACTCCTAAGTTCAAGGAGTCTGGCACCACCTAGATAGTAAGTTCAGAATTTGAAGGTTAAGGGACTTGATTACCTGGCAGTGACTACTGGGAATCACAGGAGGCACAAAAGTAGCTCAAAAAGGGAATTGCAGAGAGGGGTCAAATCAAGATGGTTCTAAGTAGGCTAGCAATCTTGTATTGCTTTTTTAGACTACCTCATTGCACATAAAAACTCAGTTTTATTTTTTCAATTTTTAAAAATCTTCCAACTATTACAGCTGTGAACAAAACTTGCAAAAAAAAACCAGATGTCCTGGCTGAACTCTTCCCCCTGTTGGAGTCTCATGACACTAATTTGCTAGAAGCAAAAATTCTTATTATTTGTACTCATTTAACATCATCAAGAAATAGGCTTTATGTGAGTAAATCCATGAAAAACTTAATCTCCACCTTTCCATTTGGCTTGCTGCTTCTGACTCAGTAGAGCTCTTAAGCAGCGGCAAAATGAAAAGCTAATAGCTCCATAACAGAACATGCTTAAATACTTTGCTGAATTAGGGCTTAATAATGGATATGAATTATTTCTGAATATCAAATCTCCTGTCCCAAAGCAACATAGCTTTCTTTCAAAAAGCACACTGGAATATGCAATGCTTCACCCTGTTCAGCTGCTAAATTTTCACTCTTTTCAGATGGCCTGATTAGTTTACAGATGTACTCTTGAGGACTCTCAAGTGCTACTCTGCAGAGTATCCTGCAAAATCTAGGGGAGGTCTTTTTAAGGCAATCATGGAAACTTTGCAAAGCTATTACATTTAAAACTATATTTCACAGTAAGTGGTATGATTTAATACTACAAGTCTGCAAATCATATCCTGAAAGAATTTGTGTGCATCATTCAGAACAGGGGCAGGCAGAGACCTGCTCTAAACGGAGAAGCTGCACGCTCATGCTGGTTTAAGTAGATCACATGCTGTAAGAGTGCATGCAGCACAGGCTGTGGAAACGTGATAGTGATGAGGTGGGGTTAATATCACCTTCATCTCCCTGGAAGACACATATAAAATATAATTTCCCCTTTCCTCCTTTCTCCTATAAGTAACCTAAAGGAGAGGAAGACCCAGGGAAAAAACCCTGCATTTTGGCTGGATTCTCTAGCTGCTGGAAATATCTAGCATAAATGGATTTAAGCAAACTGAGACAACTGAGGATCCAGTCCAAAACAAAGACCATTGTTAATTTTATTAAATGCAGCTATTTTGTTTACAGCTATTGCATTCACTTCATTTCACTGTTTTTCATATTTCACCTTTCATCACTGTGTGATGTTTACACACAATCACAGTATACTCATTGCTGAGATACTACGCACTGTTTACTGCTGTCAGTGACCTTGTCATCCAGCTTCAAATATTGCAATGTTTAAAACCTGCTTCAACTAACACTTAGGCACAGAAGAAATCTTGTCTGTTTGCACAAAGTTGCTGCATAGCAGAGAAAGCATTATTTTATTATTTTTTTTACTATTGTTTTTTACTTATATATTAGTTCATATGTTTTGTTTCTTTGCAGTTGGTACTATATATTTTTTTAAGTATGTGAAGGTTACAAAATCAAATATTTAAAACTCAGGAAAGCCTGGAATTCATGTTGCCTCCTTGTCCCCTGTCTGAGAAGGCAACAACCTGGTCTTTCAGTGTGCTTGGGTTTTGGATCTTTTCCTGCATGTTACCGTCCATGGCACATCCCTCCTGTAAAACAGACTTCATTGTCTCCTGCCATGGAGCTAAACCAGCTCTTCATCGTTCCACAAGAGCAAACCAGGAAACTTTAGATAGTCAGTATGTACCCACTATTGCTTAACATAGAGAAGTAAACTGACAGTAATAGAAAGCTGATGTCTGGTTTGCAGCCACACTTGTGAAGAGAAAGAAACAATCCTCTTTATTCCTAGCTCCCTGGTGTCTGCTCCCATTCTCCCTTTAATCCCAATCCTTGATTCTGTTTTTACCTGATTCCTCTTCTTGTACTCCTCCAGTCTCCTTCTATAGGCTCCTACGTTGAGAGTGAGAAAAATCTCACTTCCTTCTGCAGCAGATCAGAGACAAGAGGAGAAATTTTCTCCCTGCTCTGAGCTGCTATGCACACATTTATTACAAGCTGGGCCAAATTAAACCTCAATTAACTTTACAGACATGACATGGTAAATGTAATTAAAATGAATATTAATGCAAGAATGTCTTTTCACATTACTTCAGCCTTAAAAATAGCTAAGCTATGTTAGCTGAAACATTCACCAAAAAGAAATTGTTCAGGTAGGCACATAGAGAATTTGAGTGCAAAGATTTAACTTTGATACACTTATGTACAGAACAGCTTCTTATAACAGGAAATATGGGACAGCAATCTCTACTGGAGTCATTATGCTTTTATTATGTAATAAAAACATAAGAGGCTTTGTGATATTGTAGTTTCTTAAGTTTATAGGAAAACTTAGTTGGAAGGAAAACTTCTCGAAATTAAAGCAATAAGAATATATCAAAATTGCTTATACTAGGACAGATTCAGATCTCATTCACTTGAGCTTGCACTGTTGAAGTTCCTGTCTTTTTAATGCATAAGAGACAATCTTATGAATTAGAAAGATTCTGGTTCTGAAGTTCCAGTTAGGAACTTCCTGACCCCGCCCCAGGGTTTGTGGTTTTGCACGACTCTCAGGAATATAATCTTCTTCCCTGTAAGCACATACAGGAAGCCGGTCTCCTGAGTAAGAAGGCAGCAGTTTCACAGAACAGTTGGGCTCAAGAAGGAAGGAAAAATGACTCTGCATGTGGGAGACTGGAGGCATATGAAAAACAACACAGTTTTAAAAACCCAGAAATTTTGCCAAAATCTGAGATAGTTCCTATAAATAAGTTCAGAACAAAATACATAATGGTACACTATGAGATAAAGATTTTACTGGCATTTATTTGTGTTGTTCCACACAAAATCACCTCTGGCACTCTTCATCTGAAGTTAATATAGCCTTTTCCAAAAATATTGGGTTAGACCTTTATACCAGATTCCAAATGTATGTAAGTACAGATTTATATATACAGAATCTTCAGAAAACAATTTAATCTGGAATTTGTCAGGTTTATAGCAAAAAAATTTACTCTATTAAAAATAACCTAATTTGAATACATTAAACAGCTCAAAGAACCTCTAAAATCCTATCAAAGCAAAAGATTCATAAACTTGTAGACAACTTCATTTACTATCAAAAGAGAAAAACTTTCAAGATTCTTTAAAAAAAAAAGGACCAATATGCATTCTACATCCTGCAGGAACAAAAGCACTTTGAAGATTTGTCCCTGAAGGTAATAAAAGATGGTGATTAGAAGAACATATTAGGATGGCAGGCATGACTGTATGTTTCTCATTGCCCCCCTTTTGTACCTGTGTTTTTAATCTTTCTTTATGTATTTTCTGTGTATGAGACCTATGGTGAAAATTTCCAGTGTCTTGTTCTGTCATCTAAGTAACATAAAAATGGTACAGAAGCTTTAAAACAGCTGGAAGATGTACCACTAGACTTATCGGAAAACTCAACCACTGAAGTTAGAAGAGTGGGGGTGTGGGGAACAAACCACCTGCATATGTTTTGTGGTCTTATTCTTGCTCTTCACCTTGGCCAATAGATTGAAAGCCTGAGAAAGGTTGGAGGCAGGTTTCATAGATTTTCATTGCAAGCAAAGTTCTGGAAAAAAAACCTCTATGGGGAGGTAAATGAGTATGCATCACTTTATGTAAACTGGGTAAAACTGGCTGAAAAAAAGAAAGAAAAAATTAGTTTTGCATTTGAACCTTTTTTTCTCTCTTACAAAGAAAATATTGTTATATAAGAAATGGAAGATTTGGGAGAGTTCTGGCTATAGGCTGTCAATACTAACTAACCCAGCTTTTTCTATGCTCAACTACGTCAGCTAGAGGAGGAAAAGTAGTGAATCTGGCACCTAACACTGTGTAAGAGCTGTTACCCATGAGGCTGAGTTGAATTCATTTGCTGAGCAGCCATTATTGAGATCAAGTTCAACTGGATATTCCAAGTGCTACTTGAAGTGGCAACAACTTCTGGTAACATGTTTGTGCTTCTGGTGTACTGGAAATTGGTTTGCCCAAGAGCAGGGTTGGTGTGGGTAAGGGAAGGATGACTTCTGAGGTAAATACAGTATTGATGGGGTAGCACTGGTAGTTGCATTAGTCTTGTTGGTTGGGGAGCACTATACG